CCAGTCTCATTCAGTCGGCGCGTTGATGAGAAATTGGCCAGTTCATCACGATACTTTGTTGTCAAAAGGGCCAGGATTGCTGCTTGACGTTTTATCCTTACTCACGACAGCGTTCCAACCATGGTTCCAAGTGCCTGACCGTGATGATATCGAAATATCCTACCCGTGAGGTGACCGCGTCATATTGGGAATAGCGAAGCTTAAGTGGCGGCCGCATGAATTTTATTTTTAAAAACGGTAGTTTTACTACAATGAAGAGTTATTTGCTACTTTTTGTAGTTACTTCATCGATGCATATCAATACATATAAATCAGATCTGTTATATAAACCTTGATTTATATCACTATACTTCAAGTAAGATTAATACTTTCGACTCTACTAATTTAATGCATAGCAGTTGTCGCTCATTTAGGACCTCAAAATGCGAAAACAAAGCGAGAAAATCATTTATTTAAATAAAAAACGACTGACGTCGATGAATATCACACACTTAAGTTGGTGCGCAACTTTTCATCGAGTAGTGCCGAGTTTTAATCTTCACATAGGAACTATGAAATTCCTACACATAAAAATTGAGTTACTTGTAGAGGAAGGAATAGGGTTGAATGACCGACTTTTATCTCGTGTTGCTGCTCTTCATGGCTAGCTATTTCAAACCATCGATGTGAATAATATATTTTTGCAATGAATACAATAGTGATTTCAATTATTCTCACCCGCAGAAGAGCAGGAGTGTGATCAACAGCGCCAAAGCTCGAGCACGACGGTCGTGCGACAGATAAGCTCTCCCTCCATTGCTCTGCAAGGTGGCATAGAGTTAAAACTAGGTTTACTTCTTAGTTAAATACATTTTAAATATTCATTGATTGAATGCTCAGAGAATACTATTATAACTCTTGGGATATTTTTGGCAAACGGTTTTTATTTTATAAATCTGATTTAATAAAGTAAAGAACATTTGTCACAGCTTTATTCCTTTAAGTGTGCACTCATGGGAGCTTGAACCATGTGCTTGGATCATGCCAAATGATCCTACCTGCGCAGGTGTGGACGGGAAACATAGTCGCGTCAGCCTGATGAGCGTATCAGTGATACGCCTGCTCCACGCAACGATCATGCAATAGTAAAGCAGAACACCCACTAGTGAGTAGGCAACCACGAACGCTCGTATGCTGCCTCCAGACCAAGCCCCGCCCCCTGTCGTGATTAGTTCATAAGTATACACTCAGAGAAATGGATAAGAATATGTCCGAATAGCGATGCACTTTTTGCCTTATGTGGAAAATCCTGATCCGGGGTATTGTCCGGCAAAAGGGCGTATGAATGATACGTGTAGTGACACAATTCGGAAGACACAATTCGGACACTCTTTCAAACCATTTACAATAATAAATATTTGACCAAACTATCTTCACTACCTCCACACTATCCAACTGAAACTCACATCCATATCCATCGAAACCGTCATTTAAATAGTCCGTCTTTATAAATCAGAACCTTTTACAATCAGTTTACCAATGAATATAATTCTTCAAACAGATTGGTAAAATGATTAGAAGATAGACTTTTTCTGCCTATACACAAACTGAAATTATTTAAATGAAATTTTTCACAAACGTCAACAGATTATTGGATGGCTCACCAATGGTCGAAATTAAAGAGAAGGCGTAGAGGCAAGCCGATGGGTAGTCCCAGGATATACCTCCGGGCAGGCTGTTGCTCAAGGACAAGTAATCTTTAATATCGTCTGTTGAAACCTGTATAAAATAAATAAAACTTTTACAACATGTTCATTTGAAAACAATTATTATTATTTGAATTGAATATTTCTGTTTATAGCAATATCAAATAAATTTATATCAATCTATTTATTTTCTTGTGCAACTTGATTATTCTTGAGCATTTAATTTCATAATTTATGTTTAAATAATCAAACTCTGTAATCAGAGCTCCAATTAGTATCATTACGAGCGAAATAATTATTCAAATTCCTTATTGCGATTGCGTTATTATTCATTCTTATACTGCATTGATGTGACTTATTATTATGCTAGTGCCTCATTTCCTATCCCAGCAATCACGGACAATCAGCGGCGGATGACATAATCATAGACACAGGAGAATGTCTGTGCAATATTTTGCCTTCTTTTAAATCGTTGTTAATGCATTATTTATTTTTAATATTGTTATCATTGTTATTATTTTACCTGATATCCCAGAGTATATAGATCAGCCACAAAGTCGTTTCTCTCGAGCAGAGCTTTAACTTGTTCAGCCCAGCCCCTGTACACTTCATTGCTGATGGTCATGAGGGCAGCATCGTTGGGCAGAGACGAGCGATAGCCCGCATCCTAGCAAAAACATTTAAATTTAACTTAGAAGTTGAATAGATTAAATATATTTATGGCGGTAAAATGCGCACTTTTTGTCGTATGATGAATTTAAAAGAAGTTAACAAGTTGTATAGGTTAAAGTTTGTTATGAAGGTAAAAGAGGTAAGTTGTATAGCTTTTGCAATATGATGAATGGCAATAAAATTAATACGTTGCTTACTCTGAATTCCATTACAAAGATGAAATTAGTAATTTTTACCATATTTTGATGTTATAAATGAAAACTTTTCAGTATTTACCATATGATGATCAGCTCATTTAGATTTCCTCGAATACCTTTTTTGTCGTCAAAGTTTCAATCCATCGTCAGACTATAACTTCTTGCTTACTTGATAGGCTCTGAAAGCCGCTTGCATTTCCGGTGAGTGAAAAATGCTTTTTAGGATCGCATCTTTGCTGCGTACGAGAACCGCATTTTCTGAAATATCCATCACCATCTCAGCCACTACTTGACGTACCAAAGCTCGTCCTGTCAGAACTGCGATGGCAAAAAATATACCCAGCACCACTCACATGTCTGGTCTACCCAGCACCACTCACATGTCTGGTCTACCCAGCACTGCACTCACATGTCTGGTCTACCCAGCACCACTCACATGTCTGGTCTACACAACACCACTCACATGTCTGGTCTGCGTAAGTACTGCTGCGGGTCTCGCCCGATACAGAAGACCAATGCCAAGCCCCCACACGACCTTCGCTGCTCTAAAAGATGCAAAATTCGTAAAATTTTATCGCTCATTTACAAATAAATACTAGAAATTATTTTTGAAAATAAATGTTGTCAGAGTTTTAATACTTCTATAGGCACCGTGACATGTATTTATTGCCTAGTCTGATCATATTCAACATCTTAACCGAAACTCAACGTCTTAACCGGAATTTGCATCATGCTATTTTAGCTTCTTATTTACTAAGCGATTCCAGCCTGCCAACGATTCTAATTTGATGACATATTGGGTGAATGTTATTAATGGTTATTAGTACTAATTTTCTGTTTCCTTTTCAAATATATTTTAACTGAGTTACTGAAAGTATGTTTCATATCGTAAATACAGGTATTTTAACTTATTTCGATTACCTGGATGACTCACCTCGACTATTATGAGAGTCCCGGCGATGAGGTACACTAAGAAGAATCCTACCAAGAGGCAGTGGAAGGGAAGCAAGATAAGTGAACTGCTACGGGCTGTCATAAGGCTCTTGAAAAAGCCTTTGCAATAGCTTCCCTTGCTAGATTTCCATGCTTTCTTAGAACTTGACTCATTATTAACCAGCTTTGTGCTTTTCCGTAAATTTTCACGTCTTCTTGCGTCAGCGTTGAGTGGAGGAGCTAAGACGTTGCTTCGCTTTAGTCCGTCTTTCCTGTGTTCGGGGCCTTTCGGATCGAATATTTTTTGGACGTCTGCGTTACGGGGGTCCATGTAAGGTTTATCCAGTTCGGAACCAGCCCGCTTGTTCACGGTCTGATTTGGATGATCCTGGGTACTTGCGTTTTGATTTTTTTTATTCGTAGCATTCGGAACTGTAGCTATAGTGCCAGCAATCTGTTCTTTGATATAAGTAGTCGAATTATTCGGCAGCTCAGAATTGCTCAGTATGGGCTTGCCCGGCATATTATCAAGCTGACTGGGCTGAAAAACACTTGCTCGCTTTGAAGAGTTTGAAACGAGTCCAGCGTTTGATATTTTTCTTGGATCACTAATACTAATTATATTCGGAGATTCATCCGCAACTTCCTTGGTGTCATTCAATAATCTATATTGCGGACGGGAATCATTCGAAAGTTTCCTACCGTCGACGGTAGGAGACACGAGTCTTTGAACATTCAATGGCTGGGAAGAGACCGGTTGCAGCCTCGACTTGTCCTGCGCATCAAGCCGAGGTTTTTCAATTGCCTTGAGCTCATTTACTTCTGCTTTTAATTTCTCGACTTCTTTCCTGAGGTCGACATAATTCACTGGAAAACGGGAGTACGATGGTCCTGGATTTGAAGTGCGATCACGTTCCACGGTTGAAGATTTGTTAGAATCAATCGATGATGTTGAGCTAGAATTCCTAGTATCAGATTCCGCTTCGTCATTTTCTACAGCACGGCTTACTGTCATAATCCTTTCTTCCGAGCCAACTTTCTCCTCTTCTTTGATGGTGCTTATTCTACTATCGGTCAACTTTCCTTCATATTTATTGGTCCTTTGTGACAAAGTCTCTGTTGACGAAATTTGTGGTTGGAGCTGCGCTGCGCTATCACTGGTTTTTGGCAAGGGTACAAAAGGGGGACTCTGTAATTGCGACGAACTCTCTCCGCCATCTTGCTCCCGCTTCCAACCGACCCCACCGCTCCTTCCGCGTCTGGCGGCGGCTTTTTCTGCGGAATTCGGGCCCGATGGCGCCTCGTCACCGTTTTTGTCATTCAGTCTACGCGGCTTTGTTTTCTCAATTTGTTTCACTGAAGGCATGATTCTTGGGACCATTTTGCCACCTTCACTCACCATTTGCACTGATTCTATATTCTTAGCTTCTGGTGACACTGGTGAAAACTCGTTGCTAAATCTTCTTCGAGCCCCGCCAGTGTTGCTGACCAACTCAGGCTTCAAGGACTGGCGGGGGCGATCATTATATATTCCTATTCTATCGTTCACGAAACTTCGTCCAGTGTTAGGCGTATTGTAAGGCACCTGAAAATCGTTGGTGCTTCTGGATGAGACGCCGCTGTCATACATCGGATTTTTTTCCTGATTCCGATGCATGACTGTAATCTAGGAATCTATATTTTTAACAATGAGCTCTGCACAACGAGATTTTCATAAGAGGCCTTATCACTGAAAAATTTTGTTAAATGTGAAATATTTTAAATCTTATATAATTTCGAAGTTTTCAAGAAGCGGTTACCGGTTCTTGGCCAAACAAGTGGCATTGTATTCTTTGTCTTATCGACAGGTCGATCGCACTGCGGTCAGAGAGGCGTGCATGCACCGGCCGTTGCGGTGGTTGTCATACTCAAAGTACGACTATGGAGCTACCTTTTTAGCGCATTTTCTCATTTATGGAAAAAATGCACTATTGTGCTCGCCATGTCCGTCTGTCTGTCTGTCTGGCTGTCTGTCCGTCTGTCCGTACGTCAGTCCGTGACCTCAAGTTTTCGTCGACGAGAAAATGCGCTCTCTGTCACTCACTGTTGTGAGTACTGAGTTACATTTTTTAAAATAATGACGCGTGTTTACTCAGGTAACTTTTTGCTTTTGAGCTCAAAGAAGTAATCGATATAAAAATTTTTCATTAACAAATAATAAAATTGCAGTATGTAGTAAAACTGTGATGTAGTATGAAACCTACATTAAAATCTGGACAATTTGCTAGTAAACTGTTGTTTTGAGAAAATAAATTGGTACTTCCGCATACTAATTGGCTTTAACAGGAAGCAATTTTAATCAGCGCATTAGCGTATTGTATACTTTTGCTTTTAGTGTTAATGGGAGGTAATGATATCTTTATCTTCAAATGTCATTTTATGCAATTCCCTTAATCGACGAAAAAATGCACTTATTTAAATTTCTGAAAGCTAATACGATAAAAACTACATTAAAATACGAAAAAATCCAGCGTTTGACTTGAACAACATATATAATCGTGATAGTAACTATACGATATTTGACGACAATTTGATTGATTTAGAGATCTCACATAGAATGAACATTCCTACATGAATAACAAAATTTTCATAAAGCATTGCAAAAATGTCCTCAAGGGAATGAAATATATCCTGCTTGAATTATGATGAGTTTATGCCAGGTGTTCATAATATAGATTGCAATTTTTAACAAATGCTCTGGAACGAAACTCACCACTCGAGGTACGCATACAAAGTCATTTTATTCAACAATTTTTATGCATACTAGGCTCCTAGGAAGAAACCAGGTTAGTTCTTCTCCAAACATATCACATCGCCTTGGCAACAACCGGCTATGCATATATGAACGAACGCTTGTCCCGTATTTTCTACGAATTTCAATCTAATTGGCATGATACGAAGTGCAATTTATGAACATGATTTATCACTAGCACTGCAGCTGATACTTCACGAGTCAGTCATTAATTCAAAATACGTATAATACTGAACAACTGATGTTTTACTCATTCATCATCATTCACTCAAAGCTGACATCGAGCAGACATTAATGTAGCCATGGAACCGTGTAGGAAGTTATACTTGGCCCGAGTATTAAATAGTTCTTGGCATGGTGTAGGACATGAGTTGTGACAGTCTAGAAAATTAGTCCCGATATCGATTAGAGTATTATTACAGCGAGTAGGAAGTTAGTCTTAACGCTATGGAATAATTCATAACAGTACTGCCAGGCAACTTTGGCAACGCACGCTTCTGCTGTCGCGATTAGTCACAATTTCTTAGGAACCATGCTGCAGCTCTGAAAAATTTTACCTTCTTGGTAGCCTGAATGATTAATATTTTATCACATTCTCCTAGCTGTTTCTTATTAACATAGAGCGCTATACCAATCATCGTTTCAGAACAGTTAATCCGCATCAAATTATTCAACTCCATAATTGTTATTGATTTATTCCTACACTTCAAATGAATATCTGCTCCTCTTCCGTAAAACACATCAGTATGAACAACATTTATATGCATTAAAACTCATCAGTATGAACAACATTTATATGCAAGTCACCACGTATTATTATATTTGATGATAACGATAATATCCTCAAACCAAACGGAGCGCTGCTACCACGAGAGGCACTCATGAACTATACCTACTGATCATCATTATGTACGAAATTTACATATCAATCATCATATATAATAGATTATAGATTATATATGGTGATACATATACACCTTATATAAACACAGTCATACATAATAATACTATTTGATGCTAAGACTACGATGCTGGAAGTGAAATGGATGTTTCTACTTCCAGAGGCAAACGTTAGCTTCTGACCATTAGTATGAACATTATTACACATAAATCACCATGTAAAATAATATTTGGTGCCGCACGCAAAATAATATTTAATTCACCACGCAAAATAATATTTGATGCACCACGCATAGTAATATTTGATGCTAATATTTTGATGCTGGAACCGAAATGGACGTTGCTACCGTCGTAGGTAAACGTGAGCTACTGACGAGCGCCAGGGGCCGCTATCCAAGGCAAGGCCGTGCGCCGGTCGATGTTATAACTACAGAAC